AATAAATAAATAAATAAATAAAAAGACTGCATAATACATTTTAATTTCAGTGAAAAATCAGCATTCTTTAGATTTTATTTATTCTTCAATAGAATCCAGTCTGGCTTTGTCATAATAACTTCACATAATTTTTCTGAAGTCATATTTTGGTCTTCATTTAATTATTATTCAGCTCCTCAAAATTTTGTCAAATAGTGTCTACAAAGCAGATTTTACCATTTGCAAAACAAAAAATAAAGGTCATGAGAAAATAACTAACATTAGTAAGCTAAGCAATAATAAATACATTTCCAAAGGCTTAGTTTTTCAAGTAAAACTCAAATATTGGCACAATTCTCCATTATGCATATTGAAAAGGGAATTAAAAAAAATTATGTCCTACAGTTAGATACACATTTAGAAATGCTAATCTACATTTAGAAATATGTATCTTTTTTATGTTTCACTAATTTTCCATTAATTTTCAATTTTAATGCATTATTTTAGAAAACCCAAATCTTTGAATTACACATACCTGTTTTCAAGGGTAGGCTACATATTGAAAATGTGTAATAAATTATATTTGCATATTTTATATATTTAAATAATATTTAAATGTATACATTGCCAGTAAAACCAAACCAAAACAAAACTTGAGTCCCTTGGCACACACACTGTCCCAGATATCTAGGAAAAAATCACAATCACACAAATATAAGATTAGCCAGTAGCAAATATTATTGTTTTTACATTAATGACTACAAATTGATTTTTTTTATATTCAGAAACTCCATAAATTCACCTCTCAGCTTGGGAGATACAAACTTATTATTTCCTGAATGAAATAAACAGCTGTTTTCAGTTTAGAAGAGGCTTTACAAATGTACAGGTATTTTTCAAACAATTACTAACAGTGAACTGTATCATTTGGGGGTCAAATTTTTGATAAGATTTAACTCTAAGCATTATTTCTTTGCTTCAGTTTTCAGTTAGTATATATTTTTAAAATGGTGTTGTTAGGGGGAGGGGGTATTTTTGGTATTTAAACTCTCTGCCTTTCCTGTGTCTTACTTTGACCTTCCTGATCAGAGTATGAACTCTGTATCAGGGATTCTAAAAAAAAAGTTTATAACATCCAGGCAAGAGAAGTATGCCAGTATAGAGTGGTTAAAATTAGTTGTAAAATGAAATCTTGCTGAAGATATATGATAGTCACAAAATAAAAGTTTCTTTTAAAAATTAAATTGAATTTTTTGAGCAATCATTAATTTTTCAAGCATTATTACTATTTTCGCACTTTAATGATAAAATTGATCTTTATATATTCAAAGGAAAATTGTTTTAAATATAAGAGCATTACTTTGACAAATAGAATTGAAAATATTATTTTCCAAATTTGTGCAGGCACTATTTAGATAGAGAGTATATTAAATGATATGGATGTGACTTATAGCCAGGTACATTTGCCTGTAAAACCAACAAACAAAAAACAAAGAAACAAGAAAAAATAAATATCCATGCTGTGAGAATGAATAAGCTACTCTGAGAGAGTGGTTTGTAGATTTCAAGTAATTGAATTGCAAATCTATATTTGAATTGATTTTAATACATTATTTGTAATTTGAGCAATCAAGTGTGACAATAGTGTTGGTTAAAAATAATTTTTTTTTTCCATAAAGAAAAGAAACCTTTACCAGGTTTTATGATAGCATCAAAATAAATGTTTCTTTACTTATAACTATGTATATGATAGAAATATAAAACAATTTAATGCAAATTATTGGATTAAAACTGCATAATAATTAATAATGTTCTTGTAAGTATTTTTGTTCAGATGTTTTCCTATATATGCATTTCTAATGAATATTCAAGAATGGGATTCCTGAGTCACAGAGAATTCATGTTTTGAAATGTGGTAAATGCCTCCCCTTGGTGTTAAGAGGCTGAGTTAACCTGCACTTCACTCTTACCATCAGCATAATGAGTCGGGTGCCCTGTATCCTCTCCAACATGGGTATTCCTGCTATCTCAGCCTTTCTGGTGGGTAGATAGCGGTGGTACAACAGTGTAATTTTAATTTGTATTTTTCTGATGACTAATGATGTCAATCATCTTTCTAGCAGTCATTGGCAATTTGGATATCATTTCAGAGTTCTTCAAGTTCTGGATAGCTTTCCTATTCTTTTTTTAAATGATTGCTAGAATTTATTTGTATATTAGAAATAATACTTTTATTAGTAATGTGTATTACAAATACTTTTTTCACTCTCTGACTTAACTTTTTACCCTCTTAACGGTATTTTTGCAAACATGTGAATAGTAATATATGTATTTTTCTTTATGGATGTTGACTCTTAGTAAGTCCAAGTTAAAAAAAATCTTTCA